ATCAGTTTTGGATATCGCATTTCTGCTGTGTTTTATGGACTTGAAAAACCTCTGGTTTTCTCACTTTGACTTTGACTTTCTGCACTGTACACTGCCTATTGTTCTTCACCACATCTGCTGATAGCCTTTTGTTCTCTGCAAGGATTGCATTGTTATGTTAATTTTTGTAACATGCCATACAGCAGAGCACTCTTACATAACTTCAAGAACCTCCTTTCCTTCCACCATGGAAGGCTGCCATTGCCAGTCCGGAATACCATCAGATCGTACAGGATTCTAGCCAGACTACCAACACACAGAGGCACAAGAGCTGGTATCAAGAAGAAGAAAATCACCTCATCTGCACCAAATCTCCATTCCACTATTACACCAAGAATAACCACACCTGTCGCTGACCAATGCATACCTATCACTAGGAAGTGTAAACTTTTGCTTTCAACCTAAAATATCCGATCTCTCTGTAATAAAGCACCTGAAGTAGGAGACTATATCACTGACAAGGATATTGACATTATCGCACTGACTGAAACCTGGATGAAAGAAAATACTGATGAACATGTCATTATTGAATGCACCCCTAATGGATACTCCTTCAAGCATACTCCACGCAACACGTCATCTGGCGGTGGTATTGCACTCATCTACAAATCTTCACTGAAGTTATCTACCTGGAAACCTATCACCAACATCAAATCATTTGAAGCTACAGAGACCACGCTGATACACCAAGGAATCGCTCTCAAATTTGTCATCTTATATCGTCCACCACCTAGTGTTAAGGACAAACTCACTGTGTCACAGTCCCTCCTCGAATTTGGGGCCATGCTTGAGAAATATGGTTCATACAATGGTAATATGTTCATTGTTGGTGACTTTAATTTGCATATCGACGATCAACTTAATTCCACTACCCAGAAATTCACCAACATTATTGACTCATGCAACTTGAAGCAGTGGGTCCATGACCCTACTCATATTCGCGGACATATACTGGACTTAGTTATCACAAACTCAGATGTCATTGACTCAATTTCCATCGACAGTCAGAGTCTTTCCGACCACAGACCAGTTCATGCACAACTGTTACTCCAGAAGCCACCACTTATTAGACGCCAAATCTCTTATCGCTGCATATCATAAATTTCTTCTGCTGATTTCTCTAAGGACATTGCTACCATCCAGGATCTACATCAACAACCTTCTGATTTGAATTCCGCTGTTACTACTTACAATTCTGCTATCTCTTGTCTTCTCAATAAGCATGCACCAATCAAGAAGCGCATCATCACTGTTCGTCCAAACACCAAGTGGTATACTGCTGAATTAAACCAGGCAAAGAATCATCGTAGGGCCACAGAGCAAAAATGGTGAGAAACTAGGCTTGAAATCCATCATCAAATCTACAAAGATACATGTCGCCATGTCAACAAGCTAATTCGCGAGACCAAGTGCAGTTACTACACCAACCTCATTAAAGAATGTGCCAATGACCAGAGCAAGCTATTTCGAACCATTTCTACACTGTTCAGCAAATCTATTGCTCTACCAACCCACACTTCCACCCATGAACTAACCAAACGTTTCAGTCAATATTTCACTACAAAGATCAAGGATATTCGCACCAACCTGGACACTACTGATATTAGTACTCAGTTCACCAATTCATACTGCATCAACCCTGCCTTCATTCACCTCTGCCAATCCATCTGATATTCGTAAGCTCATCATGAAGTCACCTAACAAGTCATGCCTGCTGGATTCTCTTCCTACATCACTACTCAAGCCTTGTCTCGATTCCCTGCTTCCATTTATATCAATTTTTCTCTTCAATCCGATGAAGTGCCAGTACTATTCAAGTCTGCAATCGTCACTCCTCTACTTAAAAAGACATCACTGATCGCAATACACTCAAGAACTATCGTCCTGTCTCAAACTTGCCGTTTCTCTCCAAAGTCTTGGAGAGGATTGTTGCTTCTCAACTGACGGGCTATCTTACTGCAAACTCACTTCTGGAACCACTGCAATCTGCATATAGAAAGTACCACAGCACTGAAACAGCTCTTCTGAAAATCCATAATGACATTTGTTCTTTCATAGACTCTGGTAACTACGTATTACTCTGTCTCCTGGATCTATCAGCTGCATTTGACACCATCGATCGTAATATTCTGCTCAACAGACTGTCCAATCTTGGTGTTACTGATATGGCTCTCCAGTGGTTTGAATCATATCTTCAACATCGATGTCAATCAGTTTCAGTTTCAAGTGTCACTAGTGAGCCATCTCAGCTTCACTTTGGGGTACCACAAGGCTCTGTACTTTGCCCTATTCTGTTCACCATCTATATTTCCCCCTTGGGTAAACTCATTCGTCAACACAACTTAGACTTTCACCAGTATTCTGATGACAACCAGCTCTATCTCGCTTTCAAGGCTGTAGCCTCAATTGAGGCTTGCGCACTTGATATTAAACACTGGATGACACAAAACAAGCTCCAACTCAACGACTCTAAGACTGAAGTACTGCTCATTCGCTCTAAGTTTACCAAGTTGCCTGATCCATTTGACAAAATCACCATTTGTACCAGTTGACTTGCACCAGTCACATCTGCTCGTAACGTGGGAGTTACTTTTGACAATACTCATATGTTCAACACTCACATCAAGATTACTGGCAGATCCATCTACAAGCATCCTCGTCGCATCGGTCGCATTAGGAAATATCTCAGTAATGACACCTGCCAGACATTAATTCATGCTGTTCTATCTGCTAAGCTTGATTATGGGAATTCATTATTATTTGGACTGCCGGACAATAGCATCAATCTTCTTCAACATGCTCAAAACACTGCTGCAAGAATCATCACCCACACTAGAAAATATGATCACATATCTCCAGTTCTACAGAACTTACATTGGCTACCTGTTCGTTATAGGATTGACTACAAACTTATGCTGTTGACATTCAAAGCTCTGAATGGACTTGCTCCAAACTACATTCTTGATCTACTTCATGTGTACACACCCAGTCGCTGTCTTCGTTCTTCCAATAAGAAGCTTCTCCATAACACTAACTACAGACAGAAAACATATTGTGGACGTGCCTTCTCATATGCAGCTCCAAAACTCTGGAATGACCTTCCACTTGATCTTCATGAAGTTACTGATGTCAATATTTTTAAAACGAGACTTAAGACCTACTTGTTCAGCAAAGCCTACAGTGTGGGATAACTACAGATTTGTAGTGTTCGCTTTCAGCGCCTTTGAACAAAACTTAGTTTTGGATACCGGCGCTATATAAGTTTTTTAGATAGATAGATAGATAGATAGATAGATATATAGATAGATAGATAGATAGATAGATATTCAGTGTCGAATTATTCACAATCATTGTGTTCTATTTGCAGGTAGACTAACATTTGGAGAAATGTAAACATCTAGTTCAAATAATCAATTGTTTTTTTT